AACACAAAAAAATTACAACCGAACCGAACTAAATAACAATTCGGTAGATAAATTTCGGTTTCAAATTATTTCAGTTTTTATTTTTGTTTTTTTGGTATTAATCGAAATTATCAACACTACTACTCTTATCCAAAAGCAAAGTCGGAAAATGAAACCGAGAGCTCAAGTTCACCATCCCACAACCTATAATATTTATGAATATTTTTGAACTCATACATGAGTTCTTTTCCGATGTGGGATGATTTCAAATCTATTAGTTTCCGATGTGGGATGATTTCAAATCTATTAGTTTTGGTTAGTGAGATGGGTTATTTATAAACCTTTTCAAGTCTCAAAAGCATGTTTTTTTTCGATGTGGGATAGTGAACTCACCCTTTGAGCTTCCCTCTATCCCACATCGCTTAGTTTAGCTTTTGGAGGGTGGGGATAGGTTATAAATTAAGCTCGACTTGTCCTTTTTACTTATGGATTGTGATCCGTGTGGGCCTTGTCTTTTAAAGTTCATGGCATTTTATGGGTTGATGTTTGAATTTATAAAAGTCAAGCGAAAACCCAAAAGCCCAATTTCAATTAAATTTTATTTTTAAGCTTATTTTAATTTATATAAAATATAATTAGGTGAGGTGTTCGGTTTTCAATGGAAATCGATTTAAATTTTTAAAAACCGAACCCGAAACCGAAAAGTGATCAAATTTTGGTTCGTTTTTTTTTAATAAATTGAAATGAAAAACAAAACCAAATTAGATATTTTGGTTTGGTTGTATTCGATTTTCGGTTAATCGAACCATTTGCTCACCCCTATTAATTTGAGCCAAGTCTCATATAAAACTAGAATTAGGTCTTAGATTTATATTTTAAGAACTAAAGCTAAAAGAATAAAGAAAAGTACTACTACTGCTAAAAGGGCTAGGCTGACCAAGTTTCTTACTTTTAGAAGTTCTTAAAGCTCATAAATGATAAAATGACTTATGAGATGACCTATACATATATGTGTGTGTGTGTGTGTGTGTGTGTGTGTGTGTGTGTGTTTTAAATCCCAAGGAACACCAAATACAAGACATGGCACGCCGAAGAACGTCACGGGACTCCATTTTTATAAGTGGATATATTTGAGATATCTATTGATTGTTTAATGCGATACTTTCTTGGGTGTTACTTGATATTGATGACTTGTTTCAATTGTTATGGTGAATCAATTCTTGTATATGATTCATGATATGGCCACTGTATGACGATATGTACAATGTATATGTTATGTAAGACATTCATGATTTATACAAGATTAAAAAGGGTAAGGTTATGATTGACATGTTCGAGTATTTACAAATATAAGTTATAAGGAACCAATGGGTTAAAGAAAAGTTATAAGAGCCGGCCAACAATAAAAGTTTACAAGTTTCAAGTTACATGTTCTCAAGATGATACTTGACATATTTAGGTCATAATCAACAAGAAAATGATACATGTAACATGGTGATGTATGAATTTTTATGACTTAATTATATACTCCTAATTGGTCATATGAATGTGTGTTATAGTATCGATAATGATTATCCCTCATTGAGTAGTATCTCATTAAAAATGTAATTTCATTTTAGGTATCTAAAAGGCATAAAGATAAATTTCATCTCATTTCGTCGCTCATCAATTATTATGAGTGACAAGTCGACTAGCAACTTCCCTCTCCTCTCTCTCATCATAACAAGCATTTGTATTGCAATAAATTTTTTGATTTTATATATTCTCAAATGATGTAAATGTGACATGACAAAGAATTAAGGAAGGGTTAATTTCATAATAAATTTACTAGTAACCATAGTAGAAGAGATAGAAGTTATAAATGTATGAGTCAAGCTAGTATGTATATCAAACATCAAATTTTATTTTGGAAATTTTTCCTTGACACACACACACATGGGCACGTAAAATTGCCTCTCAACATCAAATTTTTTCTTTGAAATGACTTTCCTTATTTGAGATACAAACAAGTGTAATGATTTTTTTTTTCAAACCGTACCACATAACACTGCCCATGTGTCTCTTTTTCTCTTTGGATATGTGTTTCTTCATAGAAACACATATAGATGTGCTTAAGGGCCACTCTGCCCGTGTGCTTCTCTTCTCCCGAAATGTATGTTTCTTCATAGAAACACACACATGGGCGTGCTTAAGACCCATTACCCATATGCCTCTCTAACCTTTAAAGGGTACATTTTTTTTTATAAGTTACAAATGTTTTATGTAAATGCATGCATGCTAGAAAGTTAAAGGACATCACAACTTTGAACTCGTCAAATATTACAAATCTATTGACAAAAGCCTTAATTTTCATATTGTACAAGCCTCGTTGTTATTGATACATTCGTCCATACCTTCCTTCATTCATGAATGTTCTTTAAATACTTTTTACCTTCATTAACCATTTTCATCAACTACTCTAGAAGAACCACCCCTTAAATAACTAATTAATAATTCCTCACACGTTCTTTTTCACCCACCAATTCTTTATTAACATGTGTTAAGCTTCATATTTCTATACCATGATCCATTTCAAAGGGTTTTTCTTATTAAATTACTTTATTGTTCGTTACTCTGCATTACTCCCAACTCTACTTCGGAACTTAGATGGATGCACTTTGTGATTACTTGTCTAGCTACTCGGACTCCAAGTATGTCTATCAATTTTAATCAAGTCGTGATCCTCGAATTAATATTAATGGTTAGATGGCTTTTGATTTAGGTTAATCACATGGTTAGAAATGATTCGTCGTATGAAATATCAATGACGAGTACTTACAAAATAATTCCTCAATTAGTGTGATGATTTTTCAATGATGAAGTTAGTGTATCGAAAAAAATGGTTGTATTTGGTTTGAGTAGGCTTAAAAGTATTTTTCTTTTCTCTCTTTATAAGAGTAGATATGTGATATTATATCAACCATAGAGTTTAGGAGATAGAACATGTAACACATAGAGGTCAACATTTTATAGTAAAGGAGACACATCTTTAATATTGACTCTCGCTATTGAAATGGCAATTGTCCACTTATTAATCATTTCTAATGGGATTATGATGTGTGAGGGGAGTGTATTCATTAAAGAAACATATTCTTTACTTTGTATTTAGTGATGATTGGTGTGGAGTTCGTTGGAGAATTATCCTTGGTAGAATAGTCTCGATGTTTTGTATTTGTTAGCGGGGTTCCTTGTGATAGATCATGCGTAGCTAAGGGATTAGGCCTTCTTTTTCTAAGTGTTGTTAACGGGATAGCTTATTATTTTCTTTTGATATATTAGTTGCTTCCCGAAGTCCTTAGCGGTTTTTACAAGTGAAAACTTGATTTATGTTTTGGGTTTTATCTTGTTAGGAAGCAATTCAAGCAAGAAACATAAAGTAGAAAGACAAAAACAATTATACAATATAAAAATTTATGTGATTTGATAATTGTGCCTACTCTATGGTCGCGCTAGGAGTTCTTATTAGGGTTTTATCAAGTGGCAGTTTTTAATATAAGAGATGTTGTCATTATTTATAATGTGGACAACTAGAGTTACAAAAAAAAAAAAAAAAAAAGGAGGGGGGTTAATAGGTCTATACAACCGACCTAACATTTTGTAAACATTTTAAGAGCTTCGCCACTAAGCCTTTGCGAGTGGCGCCGCCCTTGACTATCATTCGCTAACTAGCTAGCGAGATCGTCATATGGGCTTTGTGTTGTTCACTAAACTATAACCCATATTCACATATGTCTTCACAACTTAACATATCCGTGTGCTATGGGCTAAACCCGTTTTTTTTTTTTTTTTTTTTGACCTTTGTATTAAAGGATTCCAAATAGGACGGCGTTTTTCTCTCGGGTGTAGAGTCATTGTAAAATTGTTGTCATTTTTTGATGAAATAAACGGATCCGTGCCAATTTACGGCTTTGGAAATTTTTGAAACTTTCGAGAGAACTTCAAAAAGATATCACACATCAAATCACTAGGAGTTTTTAGTTACCTAGATATGTGCTTGATTCTAACTAGATCTCTAATAATGGTTGGTTATCTTATGCATCTTTTAATTAGTAGTAGATAAGATGAAATAAAAAAAAAAAAGCAAGGGTTATAAATTTGGGAGTTTTTTTTTTTTTTTTTTTCTCATATCGTTTCTCATACTCATATCAATCCTTTATGTAATTTCTTCCTTCTCTCACTCAAGTAATTTCGAAGAGGGAAATCACCATATGTTTTTATCCTGTGTTGCTTGGTGAGCGTAGAGATTTGATTCAGGTAACTTTATTGCCCTTCTTTTGATATTTCAATTTAAAACATAGCTGACCTAGAGAGGATTAGATTTGGATCTAGTACTGATTTTATTGGTAGATCTAAGTCTTTTCTAGGGAAAGGGATGGAAGCATTGAGGGTTTCTTTGGAAGCAGCTAGGTCTCCTCGTTGCTGGCTTGAAGATGTTTATCCCAATGGTGTGAGAGAGACCGGAGGCATTTAGTAAGAAATTAAGCCCGGATTATATCGTGAGGGCACCTCTTACTAGCGATAGGGTAAGATTATATGGTGATGCACCTTCGTATTAGCGATACCATAAATAGGCAACTATCTACATATGTTCACTGATTTAGTGATATGTCATGCATGCATGTATGTTTAGGTGCAATTATATTTTTTTATATTTAATTTGTTGGTTGAATCGATGGACGACTATTAGATGACAACAATGCTTTCTCTTTTACAATAGTTTAGTTTGCACCAACCAAACATTGGGACTAAAAATCGTGGTTATTTAAATGATTAGTATATGTTTCCTGTTTTAAACTATCTTTTAGAATTTTATCTATCAATCTACTATATAAAATGAACCAGCTAGTTGTCCCACTTAAATATTACTACAAGAATTCAATCTCGTGATTCTCTTAAGCAAATCATTGACTCCACTTTTCCAAAAGCATATATTAATGCATATAACATTAATTTGCGAAAAAAAAAAGGTGAATGGAATGTACCTGGATGGCACCAACAAATACAGGGGTGCACCGTGGCGAGGGGAGCGGTCTTTAGTCACAATTGCTGTCTGTCTAGTCATGACCTGAAAGGGAAAGGAGCCAAAACCCTACCTCTGATAACGACTGTCGGCATTCGCATTCTATGCCACGTTTCCTGAGGTGAAACCCAGTTTTAATTTTTTGCTTATTTGGCATTTTCTTAGTTTTGTTCTTTTCCACCTTTTGTTATATATATATATATATATATACACATATTCTCAGGACTGTTTTCCATCCTCAACTAACTTTATTTCAATTCTGGTTTCAAGTAAATAATTTACAGTATATTTATAAGAAACTCATATACGAGATGAAACTTCTATAATTATCTGGTCTTAATTTATTTTTTCTACGAGTTAAAACTTAAAAAATGGAATATGTAATTTTCTAATTTTTTTTCACAAATAGAAATTTTATTAGATTGAAATTGATAAAAGCTTCTATAATTATATTTGAAGTCAACCAATATATGTAGAATTCTCTACAAGTAGACAACAAAAAGGACATACATGTCTCTAAGAGAACACTAAAAAAACATATAACTAAAATTTGAGGAAATAGCTAATATGTCCTTATATAATGATATGAGTTTTCAATATATCTTTATATCCTTAATTGAGCTAATTCTATCCTTATAAAATGAAAGAGTTTCCAAACCATCTTTCTATTAACTTATTCCATCCAAATGAACATAATTGATCATACATATGACTTAATATATATCAAAAATAGCAAGCCCGATGGAGGAATATAAGGGGTCATTGGAGGGAGGGAGGGAGGGAGAGAGAGAGAGAGAGAGAGAGAGACCTTTTTAAGAACCCCGAAAATAGCAACCCCAAAAATGTCATTAGGCCGTTGGAGCCTTTTAAGGAAGGTAAAAGTTAGGGCTTAAAGCCCATATCAAATTAAACCATAATCTCACAAAAAATCATAAAAATAAAACAAAATATAATGAACATGGATCATATGTCAAAATTCACCTACCAAACCACGAAATAAAATAATTACAAGTTTGTAATAATCTAAAAAATGGATATGGACCTCAAGCCCATATCACCATGCCACAACACCTTAAAATATTAAATTAGGTCCAAGGACAAATCAAGAGATAAATCTACGAGAATAAGAAGTTAGTGACACCACAAAAATAAATTAAAATTAACTATAGCAATAAAAATAAAATAAAATAAATAACAAGAAAAAGGTCTATCATTGGAACAAAATCAATTTCATGTCTTAAATCTATTCTATCTAGACTTACCTAGAAGAACACCACATAAAATAAACACATAAAGTGCAAGACATAAAATTAAGACATTTTTTAAAAAAATAAAAAATCACAAATCACATAAGACGACACCATGAAAAATAAAATAGTCAATCAGCCTCTACAAGGTCCTCCACATATTAATTTTGATTTGGTGTATTTTCATTTTCCAAAACAATTGCTAGCCTATTAGCAGCTTCATCATCAATCGACGGTTCCTCGGAGAATTTTTATATAGAAAATAAAAATAATATGTAATATATCTATAATAACTCATTTTGACATTTCACACCCCTCATGCACATTTATTTTCATACATATTTTTTTTAAAAGAAGAGAAATTAAAAAAAATTAAAAAAAAAGAAAGAATGTTGCATAGTTTGTCTTTTTCATAATTTTTAGGTATTTTTATAAATTTCTAGGATTTTAATTTCTTAGGATTAGTCCCCTTTTATTTAAAAAAAGAAAAAAAGAAGAAGAACAATAATAAAAAATAATTGAAGAAGACTTGGGATCCAATTGAAAATGATGTAAAAAGCAAGGACTAAGTGACATTCAATTAGGAACATAATTGAAAATGGATAAAAATCATGAAACTTGATTGAGAATTAATCAATGCGAAATTAAAAGAAATCAAGAGAATAGAGATTAAACAATTTCAATTATGGATTTAATTAAAGATAAATAATAACATATACATTGAAATTGACAAAAATAATCAAAAGAAGGACCTAAATTGATTTTATCCTAAACCTTACGAAATCCCTATGTAAACATCATTTCACCTCATTTTTAGGGTCTCCATAATTATTCTCCTATCCCAAAAACCCTAGCCTCCATCATTCATCTTTCTACAAAAAAACAAAACCTAGCCTTCATCACTTAACTTGTCTTAAAATAATATTTATGTTAAAAAAAAAAATTAAGGTCGGGTATATAAATGAGACGACTTGCTATTCCTTATGTTTTTTTTCCTTTCCCTCTCCTCCTCACGCAATCCTCTTTAATTTCCTCCCAATTCCCACCCTCAAATTCTAAGTTAAATCCTTGTTAAATTAACTTAAAAAAAATATAAACAAGTTGATTTAAGTGGATTTTATTTGGATTAAAGCTTAAAAAACATAGAGTTAGAATTGAAATTGGGTTGAAGAACCAATTCTTAAAGGTAAGAGTTCTAGTCAATTGGTCTTTAAATTATGGTGCTTATATGTATATATTGATAATATTGAAGTTGAATCATATTAGGTTTGTTGGAATGAACAATTTGATTAGATTAGTGTTAGGGTTTCGAGATCCATTTGGGGAGATGTTGATTAAGTGATTCCAAATCATTAAATGATGTTTAATTATTTTGGGTAAGTGGTTTATGAAGTTGAATTGAGTAAATTTGATTAATTAAGAGGTTAAAGATGATGAATAGTGAAAAAATATGAAATTAGATTTTGGATTGAAAAGAAATTAGGGAAAATGAAGAATTAAGTCATATAAATACAATTAAAGATGAATGGAATAAATAATGAGTGAATTAGAATAGAATTGATAATTTACTCAAGGATTGATTGTTTAAAGATTTAAATTGATTTTTTGAAAGATAGTATGCATGAAGGTTGATTGATGATGGGATATAGTTAGGCAATTATTTAAAATTGTTAGAGAGATTATAGAGTTAGTTAAAGTTATCGGTTTAAGTCTTTCGATCAATTTTTATTTTTATAGATAATCTTATATTCCTATTTCTAGAATAATTCATTGTTTTGAATTATTCTTCAATATGTGATATTGATTGTTATTATATCATCTTGTGCTATTAGATTATTCAAAGTAGGTGACTACCTTAATTTCATTCGATCCTTCATTTATATTATGAGTTGATAGTATATAGCATTTTATGCTTTAAAATTGCTTCGAAATATCTATCATGCATTATTGGTTTAAGTACAATTAAGCAAATTCATTAGAACTTAGACGGGAATAGATCCCTTATGCATTTAAAATGATTTTTTATTCAAAATAATTTGATATAAATTAAAAAAGAGTTTGAATATATGGTTGAACAAGTGTTTTGTTTATGATTGGATATGCAATTATAGATTTAAATGATAATTTACTTTAGATCGATATTTGATTATTCATATAATTTTTGTTAATGTTTATTTGATAATGAATTATACTATCAAATCTAATTTAAGCATGCATTGTATTTGATATATCGATTTGAATATTTTGGAATATGTGTAAGTTTAAATGGTTTCATTATGATTTGGTTATCTTGGGTACCTAGCTATGGGGAGCATAGTCTTTGAGCTCAATGGTACATTAAGCTCTAGCCGATAGGAGAGGTAGAGTGCTAGCCAATATGTTACCCAACATATAGAAACCTAGTCATAAGGGACATGACCTTTGGGTGTTTACATCCGATACGTTATATTTTCACCCCAAGTGTAATATAAACCCAAATTTATGATTTGATTCGATTATGATATATAAGTGTAATTCGATACTTAATTTGATTTAAGTATGATATATATACATATATGTTTTAATGATTTGATACGAATTGATTTTGAACCATTTAAGATTTGATATTTAAGATATGTATTTGGTTTGGAGAAATGAGCATCACATCTTGAGTCAAGTTTTAAGCTATCATCTTTAGTCCATTTCTCTCCATTAGATATGTTATATAATATCTACTCACCGAGCCATTGATTTGTTCACTCTATTATTCTTAGTTTTGCGAGTTTGTGAGATTGTCCTTTCTACTTCTATAAGGTTGTTGTCTTGAAGTCATCATATTCATCATGTAGCTTTTTTGCTTGCAATCTCTTAGAACTTGTGTTTGATTTTATTTTAATTCTTAGAAGCTCTGCATTTATATCTTGTGAGAGTTATATTAGAAATCGATTATGGATATCAATTTGAAAAATACAAGAATAGTATTGTCTTATCATTGTGTTAGAGTTAATAAGTAATGGCTATTAGGTTGGAATGTTATAAATTGAAATAATGTTTGATGTACTAATGGTTTGAGGATTTAAGTTTAGATATTCGAGGCTTACTTCGGTCAAGGTAGGCCCTAATAATTCTCTCGATTCTTATACCAGTCATGGCCTACTTTGGGGTCGTGACGAGTTGGTATTAGAGCATAAGCTTTAGAATCTAGGATAACTATAGAGCATAGGCTCTATTCTAATCCATGTCTTTATTTTGAATTACATGGATCAATCAATTAATGTATACCTTAGCTTCTATATTTAGAGTCATATGTCACATGTAAAAAAAATGGATTTTATCACACACAGTTGCCTCGGATGGTTTCGTTGGATTGTCACACATGATCGTATTAAATTTACTCTTCATCTCGTGTCATTTACTTTATACCCATGTGGTTTTCTTTCTTTAGGATGACAACTTCACGATTATGCATGATCATGTCATATTTTCCCTTCATCTCATTTCTTTGAGCTTCGCCTACGTGGCTTATCTTCCTTCATTGGACAATAACTCTATGGTGACACATAAATATGTCACTTTTCCGAACTAACCGTGCCTCGATCCTTCTACCCATGTGTTTTTTTATTCTAAGCACACACATGTATGTCAATTTTGGTGTTCGGACCGTGCTTATTCTTTTTATCCATATGTCTTCTTGTACTAAAAACACATACGGATGTATTAAATTTTTAACACAAGTCATGCTTGACCCTTCTACCAATGTCTCTTTTTATGCTTAACCTACACATGGCTTGCTTCTTTAATTCACATGGCCAGTAGCTTTTTCTTCTTTCAAGACACACGGTTATATGTCTCTTTTCTTTAATTTGGTTTTACATGTTATCTTCTTTGGGTTTGTTGTGCATTTGGATTTGTATGCACCTTGGCTTAGGTT